GGCTTCAATACCTCTTTCTCTGAGGTGGAGGTTTGAGATGCATTAGTATTGGTGATGAAGATGAGTTAGGCCTGAATTCCTTCCAGTCCTGTTGTATCTTATCTCCTTGCTCCTGTTAAAACACGTAAGGTAGTGTTAAAATTTGTATTATGTAATCTCTTAGCTGCATCACTCAAAACTGCGTAGATGAATGCCGACATGGCAGGGCAGTACCAGAAAGCTTTTGAACACTGTATTAGTATAATTAACTCACCAAGTAATGCAATATTCTGGCAAGTAAGTATCATGGTTCTGGAAGCCCGGAGACTCCAAGGCAAACGCTTCCTCTAGCATGCGCTTGCTGCCTTCTTCCAACAGATAGATTGATGTTGTCATCAACTCTTGGTTCCAGGAGTGTCTTTCAGCAAGAGGGCTGTTTTGTTCCATGCCTTAATTTCTCCTCCTGTAACTGATTTTCTCTTGGGGCTGTGTGTGTTCACAGGTCATCAAAGCTGGAGTGGAGACGACCTGTAAATGCCATGGTGTATCTGGATCCTGTACTGTGCGAACATGCTGGAGGCAGCTCTCTCCATTCCACGAAATAGGGAAGCAGCTGAAGCAGAAATATGAGACGTCGCTCAAGGTGGGTAGCACTACCAATGAGGCCACAGGGGAAGGAGACATCTCTCCACCCAAGAAGTCCATCCCTGGTCACAGTGATCAAATCCCAAGGACTACGGATCTTGTCTACATTGACGATTCCCCAAGCTTCTGTCTGATGAGCAGATACTCACCTGGGACTTCGGGAAGGAAATGTTATAAAGACAAGAACTGCGACAGCATCTGCTGTGGGCGAGGGCACAATACGCAGAGCCGGGTGGTCACCCGCCCGTGCCAGTGCCAGGTTCGCTGGTGTTGCTATGTGGAATGCAAGCAATGCACCCAGAGAGAAGAGGTTTATACCTGCAAAGACTGACGCGTCTTCTGTCTCTTGGCTACCCTCAGTGGTGGGCGATTGCGGTCTATGAGAACTACATATGGAGACAAACAGGGTTTGACTGACCTTCTGGGATCTGAAAGCTATGTTGAGACATAAGCACTTTGCAGGGTACAGGTGACCCAGCTGTGTTGCTGTTTTTTTTCCTCCTGTAGACTGAATTTTAATGAGGTCCAACCATGTGGAAGTAAGTGCCTGTCACGCTGGGGTTAGACACCAGTTGACCTTCACCTTAGTCATTCATGCAGTTTGGCAGATCATTTGTCCATGGAACATCCTGATCATTTCACCAATCCTCCATGGATGCCTGGGCTAACATACTGTCTTTTGAAATAAATGACTGTGTGATCTATACTACTTTATTTCCAAAGCTTACCTGACTGTCTAGAGAGCTGAGCAGATATGGAAGAAAGACCTTTCTGCTTTGCATGTGGTGGTAGAGGAAGTAGTCATTTTATTTTATTTTTATTTACTTCTGAAACTGGAGATAGGTCTGTAGGGTAAGCAGAACCAGCTCTGGTTCTTTCTCTAGTAGAATTTCCGCACAACCAACCAAAAAGGCTTTGATGAAGAGACCCGCTTGGAGGGTAAGCTTTCAAATGACAGCTCTGTATCCGTGTGCTCTGATCACCAAAATAGCTCCAAAGTGTTGGGTCCACCATGTTGCAGATGGAAATTTATCCAAGAAAGAGGTTGGGAAGACTGTACGAAACCAGATGTGCCTGTCTCCTTCAGTCCGATTATTTAAAAAAAAAAATTTCTTCATATGCAGTTTCTTTAGCACTATGAATCTGTCTTAATTTTTGTTTGAAGAAACCACTAATTTTATTTTCACTTTGTACATGACGTGTTTCTCTCTTCTTCCCATCTCTTGCTGATCAAATTCACCCTGTGGAGACTGCTTTGAAAATCCGAACTGGAACTTTTCTGCCTTTTGTCAGCTGAATTTGGACATGCGTTCCTGAGTAGAACAGGAGAAATTCCCATGCATCTTGGCAAACAGAGCAGTCTTGCATTCTATAGCAATGGACTGGATCGGAGCTTTGGAGGAGTCGACTTTTCTTTCACTAGGTCATCATTCCATTTAGTCTAAACCATGGCAGTGGTACATGACACAAGCTGTATGTAAACCCTATGACCTTAAGATTTTTTTTTAACCACTAGATTGAGAACTGTGTTTTGAAAATACAACTGCTAAATAGTAACCCACTATTGGATTCAAAACAGCTCATCGGCACCGAGACAATCTATTCAGTGGCCAGAGAAGCCAGAAATCAACTGCAGTGGTAGATAGCTCTGATGTTGTCATCTGTTTCACAGCCTTCAGCATTTCCTTTATCCCCTCTGAAGAAGATACTTGCAATCCAGGACTTAATGAGGCCAATATTGACCAGTCATATAAAAATGTTTCTGGACTGGTAGAGAATGGTAAATGCCTCAACAAAGCTTTCTAAAGAACACTGGAGAGCAGAGGGCGTTTTGTTTTAATTTTTGATAGCAAGTTTTGATTGCCCATTAGTAGCAATTTCAAATAGCTTTATTAAAGCATTGGTCTGATTTTCAGAAGATGACTGGCTGAAACTTTCGAAGAAATGGAGAACGTTTGCCAAACAAAGAGCATGTTTTTCCAAGATGGACCATTATTTTTCAAGGTGTTTTCTTTCCTTTTTTTTCTTTTCCTTTTTTTTCTGTCCTCAAATAGTGCCACTAATATTTAAGCTGTTCATGTGTATCTACTGGGAGAAAAGATTTTTATATTTCATGGTGACAAATAACTTCAGCCCAGTCTGGTTCTGCTAGATTTAAATTTTGAGGTGAGGGACTGGGGAGGGACAGGATGTTACCGTTAAGTGCCATGGTCCTGCAAAGCAAAAACATGCTAATTCTTTTTTATTATTATTTTAATTTTTTATTTTCTGTACAATTCTGGAGATTGGGATAGTGCTGGTGAAGAGGGAATCCACGTGCAGTTTGTCCCATCCACCTCCCCACCAAGGGCTTGGTGGAGCGTCCGATGCCGAGAATTTGCAAGAGGGTCTTGCAGCTTCTGTGGGATGCACTGTTTTGTGCGGTTTTATCTAATGGTTTTAAAAAAGAACTGAATAGAAACATAGTAGTTGGTGTGTGCATGTGTGTATGAGTATACATGCAGACACTTAAATATATAAATATTGAATGAACATTTATTTATTGGAAAGCCCTTCAGAAGGACCTTCTTATGGTTTCAATGTGGTATTATGTTAAATTCTTTCTCTTTCTCACACATATGTGCAAACTCACTGTTACGTTTTTGTGTGTGTTAGAATAGGTCTTGCCCCTCCAAAAGGCTGGATCCAAACCTGCTCAAAACATGAGGGTTTTGGGGTCTAAATTACTAGTTCTGGACCCATTCTTTTTTTTAATATTTGTTCTTAACAAAAGAATGGGCCACAATTTATGTGCATTATTATTAATTATTATTTTTATTATTATTTAAACCATGGGCCTCATTTTCCTTCTTTTCACTGGTGTCTCTGTCTCCGTTGACCTCGCTGGAGTAACTCCATATTGCACTGGTGTGAGAGGAGAATGAGTCCCTAGAAGCAGAAGAGAAGACAGTGGTGGCATTGATATCATTATAGCAAAAATGCCTTCAGCAGGTGGGATAGGATACATAGCTTGGTGTTTTTGGCTGTAGGGAGGAGAAAGAGAGATGGGATGGGCAAAAAAGTCGGACAGAAGTCTGGATAGAAGTAAGAGGCAAAGAGTGAATGAACTACTGAGTGAAAGAGCTCTTCTGTGTATTATAATTCACGCACTGAAGCCTGGATGCTTTCTGTAAGTATTTAAAAAAAATCACAAAAACAAATTGTATATTTATGTTAATGTGGATATATTACTTGCCTGTTATATATTTGTAAATAGCAAGGTTTATTCTCCTGTGGTTAAAAAAATTATAAATAACTAAATAGTAGCGAGGCACATGTGTTAAATGTATAGGCAATGTATAAAATATACTAACACTCTGAAATCAGGAGAACTTGTCTTCTTGGCCTTTTGACCTAGGGTGGTAAAACATATGTGGGTTACTTTTCTTCTCCCCATCCCCAGCCCTTGTGTATGCGATTTGGGGGAGGTTGTGTTAAATTCCAGGGTTTTCTGATGCTTGCCTTATCTATGAAGAAGGAATGGGGGAAAAGCCTCACTGTGGAAAAATCCAATGGAGCTCGAGTAGGATCAGATAATTAGCAGCTGGTAGAAAATTAGCTAGACCTCTCAAAAGTCTCTTGAATGCATGAGTTAGGTTTTTTTCTGGGGTGGGTTGTGTGTTGCAGTTGAATTAAACCGTGGGACTGAGCAGGGACTTCTACTCATGCTCCTCCATGTGCAAGCCTAGAAAATCCAAGGTTAGGAACCTTTGAACTCCTTTATAAAGCATCAAGTAATGTCCCATAAAACCCATTTGGTTCCAGCTGTAAGAAATTGGATTTTTCCGAGGAGGCCAGTTCTGCTGTCAAATCATCTGATCTAAAGTGCTATCCAATAGAGATTTGGTAATTTTTGTAAAAAATACTGCAAGAACGGATGTGGGCCCTGAGTTTTTCATGGCGTCTCTTCATTATGAAAGTGCAAAGTAACTTCCCCCTTTTTCTCCCCTATAGAAACAGATTTTTGCAGCAGATATAGCTGGAGAAGATGGATGGGTGTAGGGGAGTCTGGTTTCTGATCCTCTTTTACTCCTTTTTTCTCCCCGAAGTGTCAAAGTGTGGATTCTCCTAAGCTGATCCAGCAAGACTTGCAAGATCAGTATTGGGGTGGGGTTGGGGGGGGTGCAACCATTATTTATATAACTTTTTTTATTAATTTTTTAAAAGAGAAGTTAGCTGATGGAAGAATATTTTTATTGAATAGTGCATTTAGTTATGTCAGAAATATAAAAAAATATATATAATATTTTTGTAAACAAGGCAAACTGAAAATGTTTGCTGTTTTATATTAGAATTTTCTATTAAAAGAAACAAAAACCCACACAAATAATTGTTGCACCCGTCATCTGTTTTTTAACAAGCTTCTATTCTGTGTAACTGACTTATATATACTGGATGTGGAGATGTGCAAAGCAAGTCCTAAACATTATGTTCTCATTGTCTTCCAACTCTTGAAAGACTTCAGCTGGTGAAACCAGCAGTGTTTAGTCCACAGTTTTTTGGGTTTTTTTTTTCAATTTTTGATTGCTGAAACTAAAAATTTCTTACAAAGCCTGACAGATTGAGTAGCTTGTAATTAAAATACAAAATCCTACCCAGAAACCTCAAGCTTACTGTTTTTAATTTTGCTTTCTGATCTTGGGATGGCTCTGGAGGGAGGAAAGTCCAAAATGATTTTCAATAACTAGATTTTTGCCCTTGATCTCAATTGGGATGGGAAGACTTGGCCCTTGTGAGGGCTTTTTGGAAAAGGGGGGTGGGGAGGGGAAAGGATTCCTGGGAAATGTAAAGGAAGAATTTGGTATATACCAAATTCCAAGCTTGATCAAGCTGTTTTTATAGATGTGAACAGAATAGGTTAAAGTTGTGATACTGGAATTTGGTCTGCTGGAGTTCAGGAAGTCTCTTGTTCCCCTCTGGAAGCAAAGGATAATTTGTAAGCCGTCTCTTTTCAGGGTTGCAGATTTGGAGACCTACATAGTGGCTAAAAATTTTCTGAGGACTTGTCATGATTAGACAGCCTTTATTCATCTGCCTTTGCTCAGTCCTTGAATTTGTTTTAGTCATTTTTAGCTGCCCTGGCCCACATACAAGGTGAGATTGGCTTTTTGCA